GTTTCAAAGAATTCAGTTTATGAGCAGAATATTTTAATCTTAAAAAATTTAAATACCTTATTTCTCTCTGCTCTTTCTTTTTTTTTCTCTTTCTTTCTTTCTTTCTTCTTCTTCTTTTTTTTTTTTTTTTTTTTGGTCCTTTTGAGGCAGGGTCTCCCTGTAGCCCCAGCTGGTTGGTGTTTCTTTTCAATTTCAAGACTTCCCTTTCTTTTAGATGGAAAATCCAATGATACTGTGTTTAGTAAGGAATGTTCAATACAGATTATTTGAGAATACTTTAATTGCAGAATCATAATTTGATTTTTGTGGGGTCTTGCATTTTTACCATCTAAGTGAATAACTAGTTATTTTTCATTTTTATTGAACAATTTGACTTTACATTTATACATTTTTTATTAACTCCAAAAGCTTTACTTAGCATATAATTTTAAGACCTAGTCTTTTCAAATATTATTGATATAAATAATAGAGCTTTATTGCTTGGAGAGCAGAAGATAGAAATAAAAGTATAATTTCCCTGAAAGTACTTTAGAATTGATTCTTTGGTAATTTTTCTTACTGTATAATTGACATGTATTTATAGTAGAAAATGTTCAAAATACAGATTTCTAAAAAATTTGAAGATACAAAATACCAAATTCTAATATCCAGGAATAATCTCTAACATTTCTATATAACCATCTAGTCCTTTTTTTCTACATATGTGCCTGTATATGTGTATATTTCTAAATGGTATTGTGATAATTTATGACCTACTTTTCATTATAGTGGTTATCTTTCCAGGCAATTATATATTTGTCTGAAACATTTTCTTTTGTTTGAGATATGGCCTCACTACTGGCTGGAAACTTGTTATATGGCCTGGACTGGCCCCAGACACCTGAGTGTTGAGATTATAGGCATGCAATATCATTTTTAATGGATACATAGTATTTTTTTTTAATGGATTCATCAAAGTTTAATTAGCTGCCTGCCCTCAGAAACTCCTTAGGCTGTTTCTAAATAGTAATGTAATGAAAATTTTTGTTTCTGTATTTTTGTATATGTTCACTTTTAGGACAAATTCCTAAAAGTGGAATTGTTTAGGCTTTAATGTTCATGAACATGAAAGATCTTTAGTATGTACTGTCTAATTTCCATCTAGGAAACTTTTATCAGCTTGGTCTTCTATCAGGTGTAAAGAACCTTATTTTCTTATAAGAGTATAATTGGTATTAGGTCATCAATGACTTTGGGGAAGAATCTTACAGAGTCTTGCATTTCATTCCTTTAATTTTACATGTGAAGTGATTGAGAGCCAAAAGTTAAGTGACATGCGCAGAGCCAAACTCAGAATTACAGAATACTGGCTTCTCAGTAATTTCCAATTCTCTAAGCAGTCCTTTCAACCTGAGACAAAAGGGGCAAAATTCCAAGATACGGAGAAAAGAGCGAAGGGGAATGAAGACAGTGCAATACATGTTTATCTATTCAGAGAGAGCGTGTTGGCTTTTTCTTCCCATTTACTAGTACTCAGTTTTCTTCAACTCTACCTGATTCACCTCTACCCTTTCCTCATTAAGAGGTTGAAAGATTATGTGGCTGCTTATTATCAAAGCTATGTAGTACTAACTGCAAATAAGCTGATATGTTAACAGAGGAGATTGTCTTTTGACACTATGTTTTTCATTTCTTGGGCCTGCTTACTGGTTTTCTAAATCCTCCAGCAGCTTTCTTGTGGATATGATGAAACAGTAATCTTTTATTATAGTTTCATGGGAAAGAAGGCACACCAAAGCGAACATTTTATGAAGAATCATAGCACTCAGGTTTTGATTTCAGTTTTAATAGTATGATTAATAAATTTCACTCATTATTTTTTGTAGGAGACAAATGGTTGGACAATGCTTTTTATTTAACAAATGGGTTAAAATATGCTAAGAAGCTCAGAAACAAATGACAGACACTATGAAAGGGCTGGGTCGGATCTGATATTGTAAAAAGACCTTGCTTACCATAGATAAAACCTAGTAGAGAGAACTATACTTATTTGACTGCTGTTACATTCTCTTTGAAGTAGAGGCCTGAGCCATTAAAACAGCCACCATCACGAGATTCTTAAAGGTTGGTGTGTGGTGCCTATTGTGGAGTTATAATGTATGGCATTTTCTGTGCATCTTAGTTTTTACCTTGTACAGGGTCTTGATAAAATGCTTCTCCCACAAATTCCTTACTTTGTTGTTAGTGTACTTTGGTAGATTATCTCTTTGAAATTGTTTTGTTTCTATCTAACTAAAGCATGGGATTACTTACTATGCTATAGTTTGAATATTATATATTTTCTCTTTTCCCAATCCTTAATATAATCTTAAATGCTAGAGACATCAATAATCAAGTTTAATATCAATCCCATAGATAATCAAAGCTCATCATTTGCCCTTGAAAATTTGCCTGCATTTTTCTCTGAACTTTTGAACTGATTTCCTGCTTTTTTCTCTCTCTCCTTTGATCTTTTCTTCATGGATTCAAAAGGAAAAGGTATAGTAAATTTGGTTTGTATGGGTGGTTCTTTTTCTTTTGAGCTTTTTAATGTTGAAAGAGTGTTGTCAATTATAGTTGATGCCTTCTTATGAAGAAAAATAGATAGCCAAAAATTGGTTAAAGCAGGAGTTGTGAAAATTATAAAAATTATGCATATTTTCAATGTTTTATTTTAACTGAAAGTATGGAAGTCTTTTAGTTTTCAGTATGAATGTTTTCCTGAATCTTTTGGTATAGTACTGAGTTTTTCTTTAGAGTTTGTATTTGCCAGTTGGAAGTCTGTAGCAACTCTTTGGGCATAAACTATCAATAATGAATTATGTAGAATTTAGGCACCTGTCAGGCAATCCATGAATACAGAATTCTAGATTCTAACAAAATTTTCCTCAGTGCTATAGTATTATTTTGTCAGCACCCTATTTCATGATACTTTTGAGAAATAAGTCACCTTCTCCAAGTTTTTCTGGAAACATCTGCTTTATGCTCGTAGAAACACCAGCTCTTTCTTTCCTTCTCGCTTCTATTCACTTATGGTCTGCTTAACTTTTTAAAGTACACTATCATTACAGTGACAGGAGCAGATTGGGAATGAACACTGACTCTTTGAGTAAGCAGCAGTGTTTTAGAAGATAGCCAGTTAGCTCTGGCACTTAGTGTGACCAGATTAGAAAGCCTTACAGAGGGAGTAAGGACTTTATTCTATGAGTTGGTAAGGTGGACGTCGGTAAATGTGCTTCTACTCTTTTGTGATTATTGGTGAAAATGTTTCTGAAATCTCCTTTGTTCTTTCCCTCAGTCCTGGGCCATATTACAAGGTGAATAAAGGATAAGAAAAACGTAGCACTAAAGAGTGATGAATCAACTGGCAGGTTAGAGTTATCCACACAATTAAATTTGATTCCTGTGGATAGTTCCTTTTTGATTGTCTTTGGAGCTAATTAAAACAAATTAGGGTTGAAGATATGGAGGATTGGATGCTCAAGATTTTATTTGTGGCTTTTCTTTATCATTGAACATACTACTCTATTTTATTTTATTGTATTTTTGGAGACAAAGTCTCCCTGTAGCCCCAGCTGGCCTGGAATTCTCTATGTAAACCAGGCTGGCCTCAAACTCAGAAATCTACCTGCCTCTGCTAGGTTTAAAGGTGTGTGCCACCACACTTGACTTACTCTCTTTTAAAAATTTTATTTATTCATTTTTAGTTTATGTGTATGGGTCTTTTACTTACATATAAATGCACAATGTGCATGTAGTGCTCATGGAGGCCTGAAGAGGGCATTAGATTCCCCTGGAAATGGCCTTAGGATAGTTAACTGCTATGTGGGTTCTGGGAACTGAACCTGGGTCCTCTGTAAGAGCAGCCAGTGTTCTTAACTGTGGAGCTATTGCTTCAGTCCCTTAATATATTACTCTTAAGCCCGACTTAAGATCTACCATAAGTAAAGAGTGGGTTGTGTAGTCTTTATTAAAAATGCTTGGAATTAGAAGAGCTTTAGATTTTGGAAACTTTTGGATTTTGAAATATTTGTATAGCTGCCACATGATGACCATCTCTAATTTAAAAACCTCAAATTCAAAATGCTCCAAAATCTAAAATGTTTGAGTGCCAATATGATGCTCAGGAAGTATTGGATTTTGGAACATTTCAGAATTTGGTTGTTTGGGTTAAGAATGTTTAACTGGTACTAATTAAAAAGTAGGTATAATTCACTGCAATGTCAAGTAGATTTTTCTTTTTCTTTTCTTTTTTAGACTAAGTGTGACTATGTATCCCTGGTTACTGTGGAGTTTACTCTGTAGACCAAGTTGGCTTTAAACTTGAAGCAATTCTGCCTCTGCCTCTGCCTCCGCCTCCCAAGTGCCGGGATTGTTGGCATGTACCTCTACTCCCAATACTGGATGTGTTTTTGTGATCTGGGCTTCACAGCCTCTTAATTCTTAAGCTGTATTATTAATGTTATTAATAATTTCTTGCATTTGGGTCATAAGTATTTTGTTTGTTTGTTTGAGCTCTATTTGAACTCTTCAAAGGATGAGGGGAAATGATAGTCTCATTTTGTTTTTTGACTAGCTCACCTGGTTCACAAGGACCTAAACTATTTTTTAACATACTAAGTTGACAATGTTAACTAAATATAATTTTGTGCTACTTTGTATATGAAAGTCGATATACTACAAATTTAGTGCATTTTCCTTAACCCTAGACAAAGGAGGCTCCAGAACATGGGGAAAATGGAAACTCTCCTAATGAGACCCACAGCAGCCTGTGCAGAGTCCTCATTTCCACTTTTCTTTCTTCCATGCACATCCTTTTGTTCTTTCCATGTAACTGTAAAATTTAATTGTTTTAAAGAGGTGGTGTGTTTCCTTTAGCCTAACATTTTTCTTTCCGAATTGTGTAGATTTGTCTGGACTGTAGAGTATTTAGTTCCTGTAGTTGGGAATCCTGCTGTCTTCTCTCTATAGAATGCCTATATTTTCTGAATTTAGTCTAAGTTATATCATAACAAGTTGTTAACATACTATAAAGACAGAATGTATAAAGATAGAGAAAGTTTGAAAAATACCTTTGTGGAGTCAAAGTAGATTCTATTTGATATGTAGTCCATCTCCTGTCTACCATCTTTGCTACTTTTTAAAACTTGTATGTAATAACCTATAAATTAGTTTCTGATAAAAACCTAATCATATTTGATAGACAGTGAGTTAATCCCTTTGTGTATATTATCTTACTTTACTATCTTCTCTTAGCAAAGAAGTGAGGTGATGGATTGTTTTCTACATTATATAAATGAAGGTAGATTGAGAGAAAAAGTAATATCCCTAAAATTGCCCAGATATATATAATTGCAGTGCCTGTATCTTGAGGAATCCAGGTGAGGTTAAAATTCAGGTGTCTTGTTTCACAGACATGTTACCTTATACAGGAACCTTATAGAAACAAGATAAAAACATTGACAAGAAACAAGGAAAAAAAATTGAGAATGTTTTCATTGACATAGACTATAGGATGCAAATTTGATATCTATTTCAGCAGTGACCAAGGTTGATAATTTGGTTCCCGTTCTTTTGGCTAGTTTTTGTTATTTGGGGACTATAGTCAGGAAAGCGCAGGTACCTATGGGTTTTCTCTTTCTTTCTTTGGAAGGAGGGTCTCATGTAGCATAGACTGGCCTTTTACTTGTTATGTCGCTGATGGTGGCCTTGAAATCCTGATCCTCTTGCCTCCACTTCTGAGTGTTGGGATCATAGGCGTGCACCACCACACCTGGCCATATGTGGGTTTTTAATGTCGAAGGTAGATGTGCCTTATCCCTCTTTTTTTTCTATTCGCCATTCTTTTTGGTTTCCTTTTTCTTCAGCGGTATCTTTATTCTCTATTTGACCTTACTTCTCAGTTCTAGTACTTTTTCTGCTATATAAGAATAATTTAAGGGACTGGAGAGATGGCTCAGTGGTTAAGAACACTGACTGTTCTTGCAAAACACCCGGGTTCAAATCTCAGCACCCACATGGCCACTAACAACTGTCTGTAACTCTAGTCCCAGGGGATCCAACAGCCTCTTCTGACCTCTGTGGGCATTGCATGACACGGGTGCACTTACCTATATGCAGGCAATACATGCATACACATAAAAACAATAAATAAAATTTTAAAAAATTAAAAATTAAAAAAAAGTTTAAAAAAGAATACTTTATGAACTTTCTGAAATCACAAAGTAGTAACAAGTAGCAAGTGGCTCAGAACATGTAACATTTGGATCCCAAGGCAAGGTCAAAGGGAATCTCAGCATATGCTATTTGGACAGTACTCTGTACCTGGAAGGTAGGCAGCCCAGACTCTGGGATTTTCGTTGTGGAGCTAGTATGAAACTTCATACCAGCTTCTGTCTTTGTCCTCTTACTTTTAGCCCATCTGTTGCCTGTACATGTGACCCAGATTAGTG